CGAAGATCGAATAACGACAGGACCGAACGTGATGAGAGAGAGAGAGAGAGAGAGAGAGAGAGAGAGACCGTAACCCGAAGATCGAACAATGACAAGACCGAACGTGACGAGAGAGAGAGAGAGAGACCGTAACCCGAAGATCGAACAACGACAAGACCGAACGTGACGAGAGAGAGAGAGAGAGAGAGAGAGAGAGAGAGAGAGAGAGAGAGAGAGAGAGAGAGAGAGACCGACCTGCTTGCAAGCTGGAATCGTTGTCGACTGGGGGCGGCTGGCTGGCACTCCTAGCAGGTGGCTGCTCGGCGATGGCTTCACTCCAGCAGCTGGTTGGTGATGGCCTCAGCGACGGCTTCTCGGCAGATGCTGCGAGGACACACGAGGGAGCACGCAGCAACGACGGGCGGGGAACAGGAGGGAACTGGCAGCGAGGATGGGCGGGGGATTTGAAATCGGCAAATTTGAAATCGCCCCGCCAACCACCCAACACAACACCCACCCTCACTCACCTGTGTCCGGTAGCGTCCGGTAGGCCGAATCGTGCCTGAAAATTCAGGCCCATATTTTTCAGGGGGCGCCTAGGACCCGGTAAGTGTCCTGGGCTGCCCCCTTTTTTTTTTTTGAATTTGTGGCTGGGCCACTCTTTCCGGACGTTCGGTACCGGACACCGGACCCGGACAGTTGGCTCCGGACTGTCTGGAACCGGGTCTGGACGTCCGGTCGGTTACCATGGTTAAGCCTCTGACATTATGACCCCTGTTTCTGCTCCTTCAGCACCACCATTGGGGCTGTGGGTTCACAGCGGGGTTAGAAATTAAAAAAAACTCATTTTCTTAAGGGTTTAAGCATATGACCTTTGTTTCTGGTCCTTCATCACCACCATTGGATCTGTTGGTTCACAGCAGGGTTAGTTGTCGTTTTTAGTTTCTTTGGGTAAGGGTTTAAGCCTCTAACACTATTCCATCAACCTGATTCCGTCAGGGTTCGAAGTCATGACCTGTTTATCAGCAGTTACATGTGTGTACTATTCACCCACATGCGCTGGTTAGCAAGGTTTGAACTTCGGAACTGGAATTGGCAGCTTTTTTTCTTTGATTGTGTTGCGGAGCAGCAGACGCGAAAAGGATCCAGCGGCCTAGCTCAGTTGGTAAGGCAAGCAAGTAGCATTCAGGAGGTCTTGGGTTCAATTCCCATTGGCCTCATGTACCTTCCTGGTTGAGCTTGGCGTCCGCCACCTAGAGATCGGCCGTAGGGGGAGGGGACTGGAGGGGAGGGACAGCGACTGGCCTATCGAAGAAGCTCGGTCCTGATGCTACCGGCTGACCCCTGGCCGGTATCTTCCACCTGCTGTAGCAGGTATCGTACCTACTGGTGGGTGCAGCTCCTGCATCTTCCCTCGTTGGAGGCTTGAGCACCGATGTGGCTGCTACGGGGTTCCCCGTAATACTATGATGAAAGCAGTGGAAAGGGAGAGTGCCTACACCGATATGGGAGTACTCGGTGAGACAAGGCTACAAACAGGCGCACACACTGCACATCTCCACACCGGTGGTCCAAAACCGGTGGAAAAGGGACTCACCAGTAGATGAAAAGAAACTCCACCGTATCCATTGGGCCACCTACGCACACATCATGCCAACATCCCACCGAGCGTTGCAATGGCAGATCACACACCGATGCATACCGACACCGGCCTGGGTAACTTCAAGATCCAAACTGGAGCAAGCAGGTATCCTGTCCCCTATTTGCTCCCACTGTGGCCGTAACGCACAATGCAGGTGCGCTGATTTGGAGCACTGCTTGCTGGCATGCCCGATGGCAGTGCAGGTATGGCAATGGTGGCATGCATTGTGGCATGACATAACCCGATCAACCTTTCAATGGAACATCGCGCTCATCCTCCTAGGCAAACCTGCTGATTATCCGACAGGGTGGTCACTGTTTCAAGCAAACCTCTTCAAACACATGAGGCTTGCTCTCCTCATGGTGATCTGGAGAATGAGATGCTCAGCTGAAAGGCAAGACGCCGCTTTTGGTTTCTACCAAGCTAAAGTCGAACTAGCAGAGGTCATCCGGGCAAACATGCTGAAAGCCAGCAAAAAACTGGCAGAGACTATGGCAACGACTCCGGACCAGATGGCCAGGCAAAAACTTCTAGAGACCTTTGTGGAAAACTGGATCGACCCACACCAAAAACTGGCTGGGGTACAGGAAAATGGAAAGCTATTGTGGAAAAACTGGATGGCACAGGACCACTGCTGGATTTATAGTCCACCAGAATGCTTTCCTACGCCACTGCCAGGACGGACTACAGGCACAATGACAGCAGGAAACCAGAGCCCTAGGCGACAGGATCACATCCCATGCGGTGGGCCC